GTATATAATATTAATTTTTCATTATTTATAAGGTTTTCATTTGTAATATCTATTAATTTTATTAAATAATAAAAATACTGATTTTTTTTATTTAGTGAAGTTTTTTTTTTTTGTTTTGTTTTCTTATGTTGTTTTCTAAACAAACAAAGAACAAAAATAAAAACAAAATAAAAAATTAAGTAATTTTTATTTTATATAATTAGAATGTTAATTTTATTAATTAATTTTAAGATTATATTTTAATTTTTTTTTTCAATAATTTTCTTATTATTTCTTTTAATTTTTTTTAATTATTTACAAAATACCAATTGCGCTAAGTGTATATGTATGTGTGTGTATGTTAATTTTTTTTGTTTATTTTTTTTGAATATTAAAAGGATTCTTTTCAATTCATAAATATTATTTTCAAATAATTACTTTAAATTCAGAATTCTTGAAAAATTAATCGACAATAATTTTTTAAAGATTATATTGTAGGCAGTAGGTAGATAATAATTATTTTTATAATTATTTTGATTTCTTTCTCATTTTTGCGATACAATAACTGTGTTTCGTTGATTTTTAATTGAAAATGGCTGAAAATATTTGTTTCATTTCCTATGAAATATTGTTGGGTAAAAGTTTTTGAGAAAACAATTACGTCTCATAAAATTCTACTACAATTTGTACCTGTGATTCTTCACTTTTGTAAGTACATGAAAAATATGCCTATAACTTTATAAATTGAGAATATTACTATAGTTCATTTTTCGGATTTAGAAAAAAAAAATCAACTGAGCTGTATAGTAACTGAAAAAATTTCAACTTGAAATTATTCTTAAACTACAATTAAACTTTCTTAACTTTTAAATTTTGTGTTGACGTCATCTATATTTGTCGCATATCGGATGTACTTGCGCGTGTTTCACATTTAAATGAATGGGTAATTTTTTTTCTTCTTTTAATTTTCTTCATTTTATTGTTTTAAAAGCGAACACCTACATAATATGTTTTGTTTTAATATTAAAATTGCCTTTTTCATCTGTTTTTGAAGTGCTATTAACATTTTTCAAACTTATGGCATCACCATGAATGAGTAAATAAATATTCTTTTAAAAATTTTTGTTTTTAATATTCAAAGAAATTTATTATAAAATTGATGAAATTTACAACAATAAACAAAACAAATAAAATATTTTGAAGGATAGATAATAAGTTTCAGTATCATTTAAAAAGTTGTGAATTCAGTAAAACTTATACAAAATGATATTTAAAAGGTCATTTCTAAATATAAATTTCTATAATGGCAGCGGATTTCGTGTTACGACATTTGATTAGCCGCACTATACACAGTTAGTTAAATATATATTATTTTCAGAATGAAATCCAGCCTACAACTTCTTATTTTGTTGAATAAAATTTGAAGAATTTCTGAATTAAATAATTTATATATGAATAGAGAAAATAACAGAAATTTAATTTTATATTTTAATTTTGTATATAAATTGTTTTGTTATGTTTATAAGATTCCCTATTATTTCTGCATATTTTTTTTAAATTTTTTCTTTTATTGTTTTTACGTTTTAAAAATATGAAACAAAAATTTTGTGGTTTTTAAATATATATATGCATATATATATACAAATGTATATATGTATGTATATTGAATTTATATATTTAATAATACTTTTTTACTTAACTTTAAATATATTCATATTTAATTTTTTATTTAAATATAATGATGGAACAAAAACAGTCTTTGGATACATTTAACGCTATAAGTTTTATTTTTTTTTAATTAATTTTATTTATTTTTCATTTATTCAATCACATGTATTTTTATTTATATTATAATTTATTATATATAAGTGTACATATGTATTGAGTTGTAAAATATAAATATGTATGTATGAAATCACATCATGTGTGCTAACATAATTACATGAGAGTGTAACAGCGGTTTGAAAATTTAGTTGCCGAAAATGTTAATTTTCGTGTGAGAAACATTTAAAGTGGGATTATCTTTAATGAGTAATTTAATAGTAGAAATTTTTTTGTTGAAAATGTGACCTTCTCTTTCCAAAAGAAACAATTAATGGATATATAAATTATTATAATCAAGACCGCTCTTGCTTGAAAAAATGAAAATGTCATTCGAATCATTTAACGTATAAATAAAATAATATCTTCCAAAAATTATTAGTACCAAAAGTAATAGAGCTGTCTAAGTGAAAGTGAATAGCTGTCAAAGTGACAGCTGTCAAAATTGGCAAGTGTCAAAAATAACAGCTGTCAAAACAGACAGGTGTCAAATGTGACATCTGTCAAAAAGACATCTGTCGAAATTGACATCTGTCAAAAATGACATCTCCATGACGGGTCAAATGTCACCGAAGTAACCCATCAAAAATGACAGTTTTATCAAATTCGCTTGTCGGAAAGTAATATCTGTCATAACGTATAAATAGTTGAAGTGTTCGTAATAATTACATTTGAATATTATGTACTGAATTTCAAAGTTCTTTGTAGAAAACATGAGAGTATTTAGCACTGCCGAAAATAACTGTATACAAATTTGGTTCATACACACATAAACACAACTTTGAAACATATGGTACACGTAACTTGTATACAACTATAACATTTTATTTGTATGTGTTTAATATTTATTTTCATAATATATAATGAATTTAAAAACAGAAAACGTGGTAATAATTTTAAATCTATTTTTCATTTTTACATCCTATTTATTTGTTTGTTTTTTCTATTTTGTATTTTATGTATTTAGGTAGTTGTGATTACTTAATAATTGAGTTTCATGGTTTTTAAAAAGTTTCTTTTTTTTTGTTCTGTCATACATACAGTTGTCATTTTATATATGAATATAATATTATTTGAGTTAACATACAAATTTTGTTTAAATATTATAAATATTACATTATAATATAAATATGTGCATGTCTGTATGTATGTAAAAATAAAAGATTTTGGATAGTGAAAATAAATAGTTTTGATATTTTTTTATATTTTTATATTTTTGAATTTCATCAATCTTAATATATTCAATATAATTATTATTGTTATGTAATATTGTTTATAATTTAATTATACAAAGAGATTTTGAAATTGAAAAATTTTATTTTTTTGTTTTTTTTTTTTCGCAGCTTTGATTTAAAGATGTCAGAACCTAGAAATTATAAAAATTTAATTTTTTTTTGGCGGAAAATTTTTGGAAATTTAGTGATGTCAACAAGAGAAGTATATTTTATTTTAAAGTTTTGAAGAATGCTTGCTTAGAAGAAAATCTTGATAATTTTTTAGATTTCAAAACTAAATTTTGGTTCAAAAAGAATGAAGTATTTACCACTTTAAAACGGGATGAGTAACAATTGAAAAATATTTTATTTACAATAAATATATAGTTAACGTCGATACACTTCATCGGTTTCATCATCAAAGTGAAAAATACAGAACTATGGAATACATAATCAACATGTATAACTAACTTTTAAATATGAAAAATATTTAGTTATTTCATACTTCATGTTTTAAAATGGGAAAATTTTTATCCTTGAATAGCTAAATTTGCGCATATAAATGAATATTTTATAACAAAGTTTGAGAAATAGTGTTACCATCGTAAGTCGATTTAAGGAAATAATGTAGTTTTTGTTGAATTCTTCCAAAAATTTTTTAATTTCAAAATTTCTTGTTCATATTATTTATTTTTTTTTTATTTTTTATTTTAATTATTTATTTTATATTGTTAAATAATTTTCGACTGTAATTTTTATTTTAATTAAATTTTATTATTTTTTTTTTAATTTCAATTAATTATAACTGTTTTTTTTTATAATTACTACATTTACAATAGGTACTCACTTATTAACTAAAAAAATTTACTCTTATTACATTAAAATATTTTTTCTATTTTTTTTTTCCTTTTATATTTTTAATTTTAAATTATTTTTAAATTTTTTTTAAGTTTTTATTTTCACGCCATTTTAATTGTCATTTTGTTTTTTTTTTATATTTCTACTAAAACTTATTAAATATTTTTTTTATAATTATAATAATTTTCCCTTAATTAATTGTTTTTTTTTTATAATATTTCACTTTATTTTTTTTTAATTTTATTTTCACTAGAGAGTATAAAACTAATCCCCATCATTTTTTTTTAATTTTTCTTTTAATAATGTTAAAAAAATAAAAGTAAAAAAATACTAAATTAAAAAAATATTTGTTTTTTTTTTGTTTTTTTTTTTTGAAAAATGACAACAAAATTTAAAAGAAAAATACGAAAAATGATTTATTAAAATTTTTAATTTTTTTGGTATTTTTTTTTTTTAAATTTTTTGTTTTTTTTTTTTTTCTGCAAATTTAAATTTAATTCCATGTAATTTTAATTTTTATATTTAATTATAATTAAGTTTTTTTTTTATAATAATTATGTAATATAATTGATTTTGCTCCTATTAAAAAATCGTTGATAATTTTTTTAAATTTTTTGTTAGTTGTTTTTTTTTTTGTTAATTTTTAATATTACCGAATTTTAATTATGTATATATATATATATATATATATATATATATATATGTTTATGGATATATGTATGTATGTGTTAAAATTATACTTTAGTTTTATTTTTTTTTTTTCAAATATAAATATATATAATGTATGTATGTTTAAGTATATATGGTTGAATTTTATTTTATTTTAATATTAATTATTAAATATATTTAATTAAATTTTAAAAATTTCGTGAGCTTTGGTTTCAAAAAGAAATTTAAATAAAAAACAAAAAATATGTAAAATAAAAAATAAAATAAAATTATTATTTCTAATTAATTTTGTTTTGTTTTTTATTAAATACAATAAACTAGATGTTTTTTTTTTAATTAATTTTAATATAGTTATACAATATAGTAAATTTATTATTTTTTTTTCTTAAATAATATATAAATTTATAAATTGATTAAAATTTACAGTTTTATGTATATATACATATTCAATTATAGTATGTATATATGTTTGTATGAATGTGTACATAATATTTATTATTTAATTTTTATAATTTTTTGTTCTTTATTTTTCATTTTAATTATTTTGTATTCTCATTTTTTTTAATATTCTAATTATTTTAATTTCTATATGGTATGTTTTAATTTTTAAAGTCATCTTTGGTAGTTGTAGTTTATTTTTTAATTATTTTTTTTTTCGTTTTTGTTGCTGTTATTTATTTTTTTAATGTACTTTATAATATATTTATGTTATATATGTAATATAATATGTATGCATTCAATCGTAGAATTTATATAGGATCAAAAATTCAATTTTTTTCAAAAACAAAAAAAAAAATTAATTTTATTTTGGTTTTATACTAAATGTGTATATGTATATATATATACTCATATATATATGTACATATATACTAATATTTAGTGTTTCTTTTCTTTTTTTTTTTGAAATTTTTGGTAAGTTTTTTATTTAATTTTTTTTTTTTAATTTTTCATTTTATTATAAAAGAAGTCGCAATCGATTTTAATTATTTCATTATTTTCATTTTTAATATAATTGGTTGTTGTTAATTTTCTTTCTTGTTTTTTTATGTATTTTGTTGTATAGTAAACATATTATTTTACAATAATTTTTTTTTTTATAAATAAGAAACTTACAATTCTTCTAATTCTGTATTTACTTGATCTGGTCCATACATATTTGCTAATTTATCGAAACGTGGACCCCATGCACCTAAATAATCATATTCTTGTGCCTCATCATCAGTTCCTAAATATATTAATATATAGAGAAGAAAAAAATCATTGCAGATTAATATAATATAAATATTAAATTTATAAATATATAAATATTAATATTATATATAATATAAATATATTATATAAATAAATATATTATATAAATAAATAATGGTAAAATTCGAAAAATTTTTAAAGACAATAAAATTAATAAAGAAAACAAAAAATTTAATATTGGAATATTCCAAGTTAATATAATTTATATTTGAAAGAAAATTATAATAAATAAAGATAGATATTTTAAAATATGTATGTATGTAATCGTATATATTACCTGAAGCTAAAGAACTTAATGAACCAGCAGTACTGCCACCACCTTCATAAGCGTAATTTCTTAAATCATCAAATGGTGGTGCATTAGGATCACTATCAGCACGTTTTTTATGCTCTTCAATAAACATTCCAACATTTGATTCTTGTCCTGGTGCCAATGTCATAACAGGATCTATAATTATATAAAATAAAAATTTTATATGATTTTATTTATATCACATACATTCACACAAAATAATTTTATTTTATGTAAATGTAATCATTATGTCACTCGTTTTTTTATTTTATATAAAAACTTAATTATTTTAAGAACAACGTGGTTGCATAATATTTGTACATTCTCGATTATCTTCCAATTTAATTATTATTAGCTTTTCGAAACGGATTTACTCAATTTTTTTTAATAAAACAAATTAAATAATTTTTTTTCGGAAATTAAAAATTATTACTTAAAAATGCAAAATCATTAATAATTTATAATAATTTATACATGATCATGATTACTAAACTAATATTATACAATATGTTATATAGAAACACATAATACATATAATTGGCATTTTTCTAGATGTAAATTCAGGCATTGGAATTAATACTTACACATAATTGGCATTTTCATAGGTGCTAATTCAGGCATTGGACCACCAATTGGTATTTGTAATGGTGTTATATCAAATGCAGTCATATCATCTTCACCGCCACCTTCATCATCATAATTAATAATATTTTCTCTAACATCATCATCTGGACCAGGATATTTAATATGAGCTTCACGACGTCTATTATATACAACAAATACTAATACGAGTACTAAAATTTTTATTGAAGAGAAATGGGAAAATTTTTTTAAAATATTAATATTTAATTTTATTCATTTTAAATTGAATTATTTATTTAATTTAATAATAATTTTTAATAATTTTATTTATTTTTTTTTTTTGTTTTTTTTCATATTTGAATAATTCTCTTCGAAGTATTTTTGATTTTGTTCTTATTATTGAATCATGTTATCCTTGTAATATTGTAATGAAAACATGTTGTAAAAGAAATTTTTTTTTTTTTTGACATTCAAAATTAATTTTTATTTATTTTAAAAATAATAATATACAAAAAATAAATTGATGAAAAAAGAAATGAAATTTTGTTTGAATTTTTTGTTTAAAAATGAAATGAAAAGTGAAAATTGAACATACTATAGCATTTTTAAAAATTACATGAGAAATAAAAGCAAATATTTATTTATAATTTGTAATATTTTTATATAACATGTATTTATTCTTTTTGGTAGTTCTTACAATATTGAATTTTGTACTTTTACTTTGTAATTATTAATAATATTTAAATTATTTTTTAACTCTTTTATTTTTTGAAAACCAAAGAAGAAAAATATTAAATTTCATACTTATTGTTTATAATTTTCAAATATTAATTATTTTATTCCAAAAAGAAAAATAAATGTTTTTTTTTTGGAAATAAAATATTAGTTTATTTTTACTTTTTGATTCATTAATTTGCATTGGTAATATTACACTTCTTTAAGATATTTTTTATGTAAATACCCAAAAGAGTTTTCTATAAATAATAATGTCAAATACGATTTTTACATATTTTTCTTCTATTATGTACAAAATGTAAATTTTTCAAGTAATAAATTGTAATTTGATTTTGATAAATATTTGGTTCTCTTTTTGTAAAAAAAAAAATAAAGAAAAATATAATATCCTTTTACATATTATATACGAATAATAAATTATTTGTTTAAATTATTTGGAAGTTTATTACTTTTTATTGTAGGTATTTGAAAAAACATAAGTTTTTACTTTGTTGAAAATCATTTGTCAATAAAAAATCATTTTCTATATATAAAATTTGAATACAAACTACTAAAAATAAATTGTATATTGATTTTCTATACGTAAAAGTATGTACATAGATATGGTATAGAAAAATTTTTTTTTTTGAATTTTTAAATAGAAAACTGAATAATTTGACAAAATGAAAATGTATAATAAAAGTCACCAAAGTTACAATTTTTGTAAAATTTTTTACGTACCTACATGAAAAATATTTATATAAAATGTAATTTGAAGTGCTTAACTATATATACAGTAGTATATGTATAAATTTATTGAATATCTGTATAAATTTGAATTGTATACAATGTAGAACCAATATTATATATGAATGAAAAATATCATGTCAATCATGAAAATTGTTTAATACATTAAAGGTGCGTTTGAATATTGATAACGTATGCATATGCATACATATATATTTTTAGAGGATATCAATCACTTTTTTTTGTTGTACATTATTATTATTTTTGTAAAATTATAAGGTCAAAATAATGATTTCGAAAATTTATGTAATTTATTTTATTTTGCATGTAGCAATTATTTATAGCATTCAACATTCAAAGTAATATCAACAATTTAATAGGAGAGAAATTTTTATGTACAGGGAAAATTTATAGTTTATAGGAATTATTAATTTATATTCGAAATTCATGATTCTATCATTGCTTTATTTTAAATTAACTATATAAGCTTTATATTATTTGAATTATAAACATAAGGTATATATTTCCAATTTTTGTTTTTAATGAAAGTGCTTTAAATTATTTTCGATAGGTTTCGAATAATATTTGAATAAATAAAATTCGAAAATATAAATGATTTTCGATATATTATGGGAATAATTTTCGGATGAATTTCGAATAATGAATTTCGAATGTATTTCGATTAAATGATTTATCGATTCAATATAATTCGAATAATTTTCAATTAAAAATTATTCAATTTAATTTGAAATATAATTAAAAAAAAATTATTTCAATAATGTATATATTTCGGATAAATAAATAATTTTCGAAATTCGAATAAATTTTGAACAAATGAATAATTTTCGAAATACAAAAATGCACTTTCAGTTATTTACGAATCATTTGCGAATTTCGAATGAATAAACTAATTTCGAATAAATAAATAAATTTCGAAATTCGAATAAATTTTGAACAAATGAATAATTTTCGAAATACAAAAATGCATTTTCAGTTATTTACAAATCATTTGCGAATTTCGAATGAATAAACTAATATCGAATAAATAAATAATTGTCGAAATTTCGAAATTCGAATATATTTTGAACAAATTAATTATTTCCGAAATAATGCATCTCTAATTATTTGCGAAATATTTAAGATATTTAATAAATAAAATTTAATGGAAATAATTTTCGAACTTTCGAAATATTTTAGCATTTTTCAAAATTTGATTTTGAAACGTTGTATCACATATTTACTATGCTTAATCATTCATATAGCTATGTAGAAGAAAATTATTCTTTTAAAAGTTTTAGGTACTCAGAAATACCTTGGAAATTGTAAATTCCACTGTATCTGAACTAGTTCTTTCATTTTCTTTCCTTTCAAAATAAGTGAATAAAATGTTCTATTAAATTTAAGTATATTGATTTATTAGTAAACTTGTGAGTATGCACAATATTTCAATTTTATTGTAATATTATTTTTTTTTAGGAGGAAAATTAAAATCAAATTTAGATATCTAATTTTATTTTATCTATTTATAGAAATATAAGAGAAAAAATATTTTAAATATTTTTTTATTCAAAGAACTGAAACAAAGCAAAATACTAGAGATTTTTTCTTATTAATTCTATGCTTACAAAAAAAAATATACGTAATAAAGTTTTAAAGTTAAAAGTTTCGATTTAAAATTAAACGAAATTATAAAAATTTTATAATGTTTATACATATACATATATAAGTATATGTACAATTCTATAATATCAAACAATCATGTATTTAAATAAAGGATTATGAATGCAATAAAAGCATGATTGAAGAATGATAAGAATTTTTTTTTTGTTTTAAGGATTTTTAAGAATTTTTTTAATGTATAAAAAATTTTTTAAAGTTATTTTGTGTGTAGTAAGGAATAATTTCCAAATGTGAAAAGAATTTTACCATAAAAATTTTTAAGCAGTATGTTTGAATATCAAAAACAATTTTTGTAGTTATCGATACATTGTATTATCAATGGAATTGAAATATTTAAAATTATTGTTAAAAAATATATTAAATTTTTTGATGAAAAATAAGTTGAATAGAAATAATTTTTCCTTTTATATGTCATCTTTCATTTAAAATAAATGATTCCCACCAAAATTTTTATATAATATACTACAAGTAAATAATAATTTTGCTTTTATTTCATATAAATTTTAAATTGAATTAAAATAAATGATTTATTTTGTAACAGTGAAATTGATGATTATATTATTAATTATAATTGTGCAAAAACAATGTGTTAAGTAAATGAAAATTAATAAATGTTTTAATATTGCAAATAACTTTTTATATATAAAATTAAATTTTTACTTTTTTTTAAATCAATTAATAAAATATTTTTTCAAAAATATCTTTTCAGATATACAATCTGAATATGAGCCTGACTGATATTATGTTAATCAATGGGATCTTGACCAGATCAGTCGAGCTATTACGAACGAAAAGCTTCTCCAGTTCAATTATTGAAACACATGATATTAAAACGATATTGCCAATTTTATTGAAATTTCAAAAGAATGATATAATTTTTCAGTTCACTATTTTCAACATAAGGAACATTATAGTAAAATAATATAAGGAACATAATTGAATCAAACTGATAAGCAAAACATCACGAACGGACTAACATGAATTGGAAAACTCGGAACTAACATAAATTTCTAATTTCAACTCAACATTTGCGATTCCGGTTTCATTTTATAAAATTTACTAATTTTTAAAATTTATAATTTCTTGAATAGAAAAAACGATATTTTCAGAATGGGTAGATTGAATTCATTATTTATACTTATAATGTGAATAATATACATAAGTATATCAACGTACAAATAGTTATATATGTACATATAAATAAAGAGCAAAAGCTCATATGAATGTAGATCATAATATGTGTAAAGTAAAATGACCTGTAAACAAAATTTTCTATTAAAATAATAGTTATAAATTCTTTTTCTTTTTTCTATTTTCATGGTATTTATTTTGACCTTCTAATATAATTTGTTTTCTTTTTTGTACATCAATCATGGTACACTCAGGGTAACATCTTGGCATTATTTAATGTCATAAAGTTTTTTCCATTTTTCTTTTATTTTTCATGGCAAAAAAAGAATTTCCTTTTTCATGTATACATTTTGTTTTTTATTCTTACTTATTGAATACATGTGTCAAAATATAGGATGGTTATAATATTATTATAAGAATCTAGCCAGGATACTGCATAATATTATAGTGAATATTATGTTAAGAAAATTTGCCAAAAAAAACAAAACAAAAAGAAAATTTCAAAAATCAAAAATTACAAGGCAGCAACACTGCGGAAATTTTTTTTAAAAGAATGGAAAATTTTTCATCATTTTGCTCTATTTTGTATTGAAATTATTTTTGCCTTTATTTACAATAAATATTTAGTTTTTTTTTTTTAAAATACAATTTTTTTTCCTACTTTTCAATTAAATGTTAAGAACATCTGTTCTTATACGCTCTATATAAATAATTCTATTAAATTATTTACCATTATTCATTGAAGAATACAAGGTAATTACTTTTATAGTTTTTTTTTCTATAAAATCATACTTTAAATAAGGCTGGGAAGAAACTATATTGTTCCTTTTATAATGTAGTTCATATTTAAATAATGTGATATGTATGAAAATTTTCATTCAAACATGTGTTTAAAACAACATGCGAAGGACATTTTACTCATTAGTTTATTGGTCAGTTT